CAATAGCCACAGGAACGTTGCTGCAAGACAGGCATATGTAACGACGACTTAGCGCTCTTAAACGCGTGTGTCATTAAATACAGTCCTCCTGACAACAGGCCAGTGAAAAATCTAACAATCTACAGCAAAACCATCAATTATTATGGGCGTTATAACATACGTGTGCAGCTGGACGAAACATACACGTCGAACCCCCCCAGACGATTTAAATCCCTGACGAAACATACACGACGAACCACGGCAACGGGTTAAAATTAAATTCTATCGTAAAATATGCAATTATTTCCAAATAAAGAACTTCTTCAATTCCATTTTTCCTGAGAGAAGTTATATGCTGAAGACAGAAAGAGACATGCACGTGTTTTTCATGTTTTTATCTTACAGTTAATACACACAGACACAATTCACCTCATTTTCAGCCATCAAAATGGGTAATGTTATTAACAAAGTCTTCCTTATCTTTCATATTATATATTTTGCTCAATTTCAGGATGAGAACAGACTTCACATATTCCATGTCTACATCAGGTTTTACATTTGCAAAATTAATGTCACCCGCAACACTACAATAGTCACTACACTTAATGATCCAAGTTACTACCATAATAAGCATAAACTCCATTATGGAAAGTTTGAGTAACAAATTAAGCACTACACCATGAAGGCATATGTGGGAGCAGAGGTACAGATCCACATTTCTTTGACCTTGGAGCCAGCTGGAGGTGAGTAGTCAGCGTCACGCCCTGTATGCTTTACCCCCAGGGAAAGAACCCCTGGTACCCACTAGATGGGAGGTTGGGTGGGCCCCCAGAGCTGCTCTGGATGACTTGGAGAAAAGAAAATATCTGACCCTATCAGGACTCAAATTCCAACCCCTCAGTCATCTAACCCACTGCCAGTTGCTATATCGACTACACTATTCTGGCTCCCTGCTGTAAATCTATAGTGGACAACAGAACTTTACTACTGGTTTATTGCTAAAGACAGGACCTCTATACTTGGTCAGACTGATGATGCAGACCATATTGGAACTGGACACTGGTGTAATTTAGATTTATTTACTTTTCTAATATTTGTGTGTTACGTGACACAGCATTATATGGTGAAGGGTTGTTAGCTCTATACTGAACCCCAAGCTGGAGAACTTACATCTTGTTGGCTGTCTGTCACTATTTAATATACATTGAAATACATGTGCTGCCCTCTATCTTTAGGTTAGTGAACCTCAGAAGTCATGCAGTCAGGATGGGAGAGAGAAATGCATGCAGAATTTTCATGGGGAATCTTTTGGAAATGGAAGGCAGTGGAAGAGATGGAAAAGTAAATTAAGGTAAATCTTACAAAACGAACTGTGAGGATGAGATGCAGATTGAACTGGCCCAGGATAATATCCATTGGCAGTCTTTCGTATTAACTGTGTTGGTCATCTAGGTTTGTGGGACACATGGTAGTGTAGTTGGTTAAGGCACTATGCAACAAATCAGAAGGTCACAGGTGGATTCCTGATTAAGTCATCAGATTTTTCACTTGAGCTAATCCTTGCAGTTGCATTATGACCCTGGGGTCAACTCAGCCTTTAACAGACATGAGTACCACGAATCTTCCTAGGGGTAAGGGTTTCTGGTGCAGATGGCTAACCTCATGACCACCTGTAAGCCAACTGTCTGGAAAATGTGGGAGCGTCAACGTTTCACAATCCTATGGGCCTCCATGGCCTGTTACAGGGATAGCACACCACATGACATGAAATTTCACCTCAATTTACTCGTACATTACAAAACTAAAAATTATATAAATTTACTCTTTGATCATAAGTTTGCTAGGTATACAATGGCATAGTTACAGAATTCTAACAAAATGAAGCCCCTCAGTGAAGTTTGAGGAAGTAAAAGCGAAATAAAACTACTATGGTGTTACTCATGTAACAAGATAATCCAGGTACAAAAGCTGCTCCTTGATACCACCTCATGGTATGTGTTTACTATGTGGTTCTTGGTGTACTTTTCAACAGATCATCACTGAAGAATTTATTTTTGGTATAAATTTTGTGTCCACTGATTCAGTTCCAAAATAATTTGAAGTAATCTGTATGGTCATGTTATGTTGTGACTTCAATGTTCATTTATTTTGTGACATGAATATTCTTAGCTTCATTCCATACTGTTGGTTATTTTATTCCCCCAAAATTACAGAATCCTAGAATTAATATCAAATCTGTTGTCTAATCTGGATATGTAATAATTATCCCCATCATCATACCACAAGGAAGCAGAAGTCCATACACATACTTAACACTGGTATACCAACACATACATATAACCCACCTCAATTTTAACCTTCATTACAGGAAATGTTATTGGTACAGGATTCTTCTCCTCCTTTACATCAAGCAACTCATCTGCATTGTGAGAATATTTCAAATACATCTCACTATCTGAATCACGTTCTGTTTTTATGAAATTCATATTTACCTGTAAAATCAAAATATGCATATCAGCCACAATAGTCCCTGCCTCATTTTATCTCAAATAAAAACTTGTAATAATCCACAGACACTTACTTCTCTCAAACACTTTCTTATATAACTGTGCCAAATTCAACACAGCAAATAAGGGATGATATTCTATAATTCATATCTAAAACTCTGTGGTGATGGTACTTACAGAGAATTTCTCTCTCCAGTCATTACTTCTACTGACAGTATTCTGGTGCTAGGCCTCAAATGTGCATTTTTTTAAAAATGGTTTTAATGTTTTGTCTTAACTCTTGTATATGGTTTGTGCTGTGCTTGGTTTGTATACCCTATCCTATGTTGGTGCAGATGTCTGGAGTCAGGACCTAGCTCTAACAATTGGACCCATATGAATAGGTTTTACCTAAAGATGAAGACAGAATCCAGCCTCCAAAGCATTGTGCTTTAAATATTGCCATGTGTTTCAGTGGCTTGTAGAAGGGGTTTGATTGATGATTGTATTTACTGGATACACACAAGCCATAAGTACAAATAATTATAACACTCTGAGGATTACTGTAACTATAACACACATAATGAATTCTTCAATGTCTGCTTACTAGTCCACCCTCAATCATCTGGAACTCTCTCTCTCTCAAACTCTACCTGGGTGTCTGAATCTGAGACTGAACTAGCATCATGCTGACTGAATACAGAACACTTGTCTCCAAGGGTCCCATTACTGTGTTTCAGGAATGCATTGTACCAGATATACTTGTTATACCATGACAACCAAACCCACTGCCCAGCAATGCACGTCTCTGCTGACTTCACTATTCTGGCTTTCAGGGGTAAGGTCACAATATAATCAGGAAAGTGTTTTAAATAAAAACAGGATGATGGATAATGTCCAGAAAGATAATAGAAGTATTTGTATATTATATATAATTCAATTAGAAATGTTACTTCAGTCCTTCAAGTATAGTGAACCCATGCTAATATGATTACAGTTAAACCAGATCAAAATATGAAAAATTATGTTCACAGCTGAGTACATACTTTAAAAAGACACATAGGATTTGGGAGCAAGAGGAATTTCAGACTGTGTTGAGGGCAGCTGGAGACTAAAACCATGCTAGAAAATATCCAAGAGTGGCTTGAGCTGGATGAAGATGACCTTGGATATCGGCTTCTGACAAAGGAAGAAACTGCTGCAGTGTTTTTCATTTATTTTCATCAGCATCACCTATATTACTAAATTTTCCATTTATTTGTCTTCTACGATATTTCTTTGCCTTTAGGGCTCTCTTTTGCGTCATTATTCCAGATGACTTCCCCCCCCCAATTAATCTGGATTAACAAGGATTTACTGTACTTCAGATATATGAAAAATAATGGAGTTTCTTTCATGCATGCACACACACCACCCACATGTATGTTTTGATCACTTATCATGTAGCAGTTACAGTTTGCCACCAACCATCAAGTTTCTACAGTTAAATAAATGCTTGAAGATACTGTAACATGTTTGCAGTAGGTACTTCCACGGTAATGCAATAACAGTGAGCCGTTGCGTATACAATGCCGAAACAACGAACGAATCTCCCTGGAGATGAACAACCAAAGACTCGTTGTGTAACAACGGACAGTCTAAATAGTAGTAACGGAACCGTGAGAAATGATGTCTGATATCCAGTCTGCATAACCCCTATATAAACTGTTGAGAATCTAGTAACATAAAAATGTTCATGTTGGTAATAGTGATCTATATTCATTTGTTTTTGTTTTGTATTTTAATAAAAGTTTCTTCTCATCCAATATGGCTGTTAAGTGATATGTAAGCATGACACAAAGAAAATCAACAGGTTATGGGCCCAGATTTGATCAAAAAAAAAAAAAGAAAGAGAGAGAGAGAGAGTACAGAAGAAGAATAATAAAAAAATGGCAACTACAGAGACAGAAGAGGTAACTCATCTGCCAAAACTGATGGATGCCGACTCATTTCCACTGTGGCATTTTGAAATCAAGATTCTGATGCGTGCAAAAGAACTGATACACATCGTTGATGACAGCGACCTGTTAAGTGACCAAGGGAGAGACAAAGAAGGAAATGGAAGATGCGAGATGCAAAGTGCCAATACTACATAGTGAGAACGATAGAGAAACACGAGAAGACCCACACTGTGACATGCACAACCACGAAAGAAATGTACAACACCTTGAAGCAAATTTATCAGTGAGACACCTCTCAACAGAAGTGCCTTCTGCTACAAGACTTCTACAACTTCAAGTATGACAAAACTAAGGATATGATGACGAATATATATCATGTGCAGAACATTGCCTTCAAGCTTTGTCAACTGAACCAAAACGTTGATGAAAACATGATCATGACAAAAATAACGATTCTACCACAAGACTACAAACACTTCAGCACCGCCTGGGACTCAACGGCGACCGTGGACTGAACCCTTGACAACGTGGTAGCCAGATCGATGTTGGAAGAAGTGAAGTGCAAGATGACAACTAAAGAAGAGGAAAGCATAGCTTTTAAGACAGTAACTAAAACCAAAAGTAAAACCTCTTTCAAGTGTTTCAATTGTGATCAAATAGGTCATGACCAGCTCAACTGCCACAGCAAAGGTAAGAGAAATTCCTCTATCTGTAAAATGATTAGTCAATCTCAAAAGGACTGCTACTTTAGAAATAAGGACAGTGATATGAGAAAACAATGTACAGTATGTAAGAAAATGTACCATGCTGAAAAGGACTGTTATTTTGAAGATAGGAATAAAAGAAGCAAGGTCAATTTTCTAGCTAAAGCAGCAGAAACCCATGTGAGTGATGCAAGTGAAAAAGACAAAACGTATGTAGCAGATAGTGGTAGCACATGTCACATGACAAATGTGAAGACTGATTTGATACATACTAAGCAGTATACTCAATGTATAAAGGTAGCAAAGAAAAATCAAAGTATGACTGCAAAAGAAATAGGCAATTTGGAATTTAAAGAGTGTAGTTTGAAAAACTTTTCATATGTTCCAGAACTCAGCAAAAACCTGCTGTCAGTGCACTGTATTACAGAAAATGATGGAGAAGTGTTGTTTACAAAAGAGAAAGTCCAGATACTCAAGGAAAAATATGTTGTAATCGAAGGAAAAAAGGATGAAAATGGATTGTTTGTAATTAACTTTAGCGCGAGGAATGAAGCTATGATTATTCAGCAAGATACAAGTGTAGAGTGGCATAGAAAGCTAGGTCACATAAGTTATGCAAATCTTAGGAAACTACAAGAGATATACCAAGGGATACCAGAAAGTGAGAGCAAGTGTAAACATGTTCAGTTTGTATGCAGGCCAAACAAGTGAGACTCCCATTTGATACAAAAATAATTAGGGCTGGAAAGCCATTAGAGATAATTCATAGTGATGTGTGTGGAACAATTGATCCCACCACTTATGATGATAAGAAATATTTCCTTACGTGTGTAGATGATTATATGCATTTTTGTAAGATGTACCTGTTAGAAAATAAGAGTGAAGTGTATACCTTTTTGAAGGAATATGTAAATGAAGCTGAGTGACACTTCAATACAAGAGTGAGAAGAATAAGATTTGACAATGGAGGGGAATATAAGAACAATGCCTTGATAGAATGGTGTAAGAACAAGGGGATTGTAATGGAATTTACTACACCATATTCTCCACAGCTAAACAGCACTGCTGAAAGGATGAACCGTACCATTGTGGAAAAGGCAAGAGCACTGATTTTTGACTCAGGTTTAAGTAATAGGATGTGGTGAAGCTGTACTCACTCCTGCATACCTGCTAAACAGAAGTCCAACAGTGACAGTGAATGGAATGCCAGTGGAAAATTGGTATGGTAAAAGACCAGATTTGGCTGGAAGTGTACGCTAAAATTCTTGGACCACTGAAAGAGTTGGACAGTCGTAGCAAGAAAGGAATATTCATTGGATAAAATACAAATGGCTACAGAATATGGGATCCAAATACAGAAAGGACCTATGTCTCCAGAGATGTGACATTCACAGGTAAACCTGTGACAACAAATAAACAAAAGGAAATGGAAAGAGTGACAGATCCAGAGGAAAAATCAAATACTCCAGATCAGGAAGATAGCGATGTGCAGCAAGAACCCGAAGCTGACAACAATGAAGAAGAACCAACAGATACTGAAGAGGATGAAGAAAATGAAAATGCTGACCACAAGGATAATGGAAGTAAAAACAATGGACAAAACGAACATTGATATGCATTGAGGCCAAGAAGAAACATTCGAATGCACCCAAAGTACCGAAAGTATCACACAGAGAGTCAAAAGGAGGGTATGCTCACCTATACCTATGACGAGTGCATGGAGAGCGAAGACAGCGAGAAGTGGAAGAAGGCCATTAAAGAGGAAAAAAATTCGCTCTACCAAAACAATACTTCGATATATATAAACAGAGAGAAAGCAATAGGCAAGAAAATTCTGATCAGTAAATGGGTTTTCAAAATAAAGGATGATGGAAGACAAAAAAGCCAGACTGGTTGTGAGAGCATGTCAACAAAAGGGGAAACAGATTTCAAGGATACCTTTAGCCCAGTTGTTGACATGAATTCTCTTAGAGTACTGTTTGCCATAGCAGCACGTAAGAATATGAACATGCAAACCTTTGATGTGAAGACTGCCTTCCTGTATGGAGACCTTGAGGAGGAAAACTACATGTTTCCTGAAAAAGGCATTATATGGCCTAAGACAATGGAACAAGAAGTTGACAACCTTTCTAAAAGAAGAAAGTCTAAACTAACTAAAATCTGACCAATGCATTTTTAAGAATGATGCCAATAGTTTGTTCATGGCCATTCGTGTGGATGACGGGATAATCATGGGAGAGGATGAAAGACAAATAGAGGAAATTTTGCTGAAACTGGAAAATCAATTCCAGATAACAAAGACCACAAATCCAAGTCTGTTTAGGAATACAAATTGAGAGGCAACCAGATGGGATACATATCT